GGTCATCAAGCTGCGACCTGATTTGACAGGCCAGACTCCACCCCTCTTCAGCAAGTGGGCACCAGATCCTGCAACTGCCGCAAGGCTCCTGGACACTTGGGATGTAAAGAGGGCGGGACTTCCCCATGAACCTTGGGAAGTCCCCTTGCCCGCAGGCCCTCCAGCCCTGGCACACCTGCCAGTGTGTCTGCCCCGGGATCCCTCAGAGTTCTCTTTCCCTCTTTACCTGGACTTTGCTCGTGGCTGCGGCCAAATCGGGGACAGGTGAATTCTTCGTAAGCCCTTCGCCCGGAGGGGCTGCGTTAACAAAAGGGACTTTTGGGAGGGCTAGCTCCCGAGCCAGAGTTGAAGGGACTGCTTGAGTTCCGCTCCTGGACCAGTTTCTGGGTCTGAGCGGCAGCCTGGTCCAATGGGGGAGGCAGCGAGGGGCCGGCAGCCCCAGGTTCCCATCGTGACTCTGGTACTAGTCCTTCGTGCGACCTCGGGGAAGTGGCCTCCCCTCCTGGAACCCCCACCTTCTGCTCTGTAAATGGTGATGCTCTTCCAAACACACCTGGGGCTGCGCGCTCCTGACAGCATGCCTGAAGTGCACGAGCCTGCATCTCGCCATCCTGGCCTCCAAGGAGCGTCCTGGCCATTCGTCTTCAAAGAAAGATAGGCGTGTTTATTTGGTGGGGTTATTTATTTATTTAAATTTTTTTTCGTGGTGGGAGGCGCCGGCTTGTTCTTTTGGAAGTCCATGTTGCGTTCGATACGAACCCGTGCTGTCAATCCTGGTGTGGGGCAGGCTGTTGCCGGAAACCAGGAAGCCACCAACGGCATCAAACTCACGACCAGTGAGGCGGAGTCAATTCTGACTCCTCGGGACCCTACAGGACAGAGTAGAGCTGCCTCCTGGGCGCTTCGGAGGCTAGCCATCTTTACCGCTTGGAGCGGTGGGTGGTTTACAACGGTTGACCTCGCCGTGAGCAGTTCCATGCGTCATGCGTAACCCAACAGGGCTCACGAGACCAAGAGCAGACACCTGACATATAACAGAAACCCGAACCCAGAGGCAGACACCTGTGTCCTGGGAGGCAGGTCGCACCCCGGCTGAAGCCGTTTGCAAGCATCTGGTTCACATCATGCTCGGGAAAGGAGAGGGGCAGCGAAACAGAAGAAAGGGCAGACCCCCAAGATGCAAGGACACAGTGGCAGCGACAGTGGGTCCAGGCGTCACAACAGTAGTGAGGGTGGCACAGGACCGGGAGGTGTGCTGCTGCCACCGTCCTGTGTCAGTGCCGTGGAGCCGGCCCCAGCTAATGGCCAGCCTGTGCACCACCGAAGGACACGCAGCCCTGCCGTGCACCATTGTCACTGCCGTGGGTGCGCTGGAGTCTCTGGTGGAGGTCTTTCTGTCAGCCCACCTCCTGGAGGGTTTCCTTCAGCCTCACTCACACCGAGTGGGAGGCGGCTTGCCCTGTGGCGATGGACCCCCTGGGAAACCCGGAGACACCTTGAGACCCAGAGACACCTTGAGCTGTTCTCCCTGGGCTGCCAACCTTCGCTCGGAGTGGGAAAGGGTTCAAGGGCATGGTTGAGTTCTACTTGCTCAGAAGCAGCTGGTCTTTCCTCCCGACTCAAGCCCACCCCTGGCCATCTCCTTGCTCCGAAGACCGGGTGAACCCACTTCACCAGGAAGGTCGCCCAGGGAAGGGCGGTGCTCGGGGGAAGGTCCGGAGGGCGGGCCTTGGAGCCGAAGCCTGGTCTGTGGACTCCATGGCCAGTGCTCTTCGCCACCATCCCCTCCTGCCTGGCTTCTTCTACTTTGGTTTATCAGTTTCCCCCTCAAAATAGCCCCCTTCCCCAGAGAGGCTGGTGGGGGTGGGGGTGCTGGGTCAAGCCCTGTGCAGGTTTCATGGGAAGCTCTGTCCATGAGGGGAGTGCCGGACCACGAGGCGGGTAGGGAGCCGTGAAGGGTGACCCGGCGCTTTTAGTAGTTGATATTCCCAGCAGTGGGGTTATTGAAAGCAGGGTCCAGCAGGCTGCCAGGCTGCAGCAGCAGCGATGAGGAGGCAGGTGAGGGTGGCACTGTGGGTTGAGAGCTATTGACTCTCATGAGAGACTTGGGGGATGGAGAGGCATGATCTGTGGCCTATGTGGCCTGCCCTCCCCCTGGAGGGGGCTGGAGTTGGTGGGAGAGGGAGGACAACCCAGGGCTGCCATCATGTCAGTGGTCAGCATGCTTCCTGCTGGGTGAGCCTGCACCATTTGCTTCATCAATCTGGGCTGTGGCTATCTTTTCTGAAAACCGGACAACCACGCTGCCTGGCTGATAACGTTGTTAGGCGAGGGGATGAGAGAAGCCCGTGGAACACCTTGAGTGGCGCCTGACATGTGTTGGCATCCAGTGAGCACCCGCCAGCCTCCAGCCTGCCCTTTAGAAGCTCCTGCCGTGGCCGGCAGGCTGGACACCCCACAGAGCCCTGGGTGGATACCAGCTCCTAGGATTGACCACGCCTCCTTCTCCACGCGTGTGCAAAGCCCGGCGTGGTCCTGCGCCGGCCCTTCGATCAGCAGTGCAGGGGCCCATGGCCCTCCCCGGGATGCTCGTGAGCTGAGTTTTCGGAAGCAGGTTGCCAGATCTTTCTTGCTCATCTGACATCACCTGGAACCTGCTCAGCACCATGACGACCCAAGAGCGTCGACTGACAGGTGGGCAGTGGCTGCACGGGAGGTGTACTGGCCGGGGGTGTTGAGCCCGGGTCTCCTGCCTCTTGTTGTTCGGTGCCGTCCAGTTGGTTCCAGCTCCTACTGTCTCGCTGGACTGCAGAAGGGACCTCCACCCAGTTCTGCGCCAGCCTCACCGCAGTTCTGGTGTTTGAGCCTGCCGCGGCAGCTGTGGTGTCCAGCCACTCATCGAGGGTCTTCTTTGTCACCCCTCTACTTTACCAAGCACAATACGTGTCCTTTTGCAGGGGACTGGTCTCTCCTGATGACACGTTGTGTTCATCCGGGTGGACAAGAGAAACCAAGCCAGAGACATTCCTACGTGTATAAGAAAGAGCTTTATGTCAAAGAGCAATTGTATATTGAGAACATCCCAGCCCAGTCCAGATCAAGTCCATAAATTCAATATTAGCCCTTATGTCCAATACGAGCCCATAAATTCCTCTTTAGATGCACGCAGCCATGCAATGATGCTGAATGCAGGAAGATCGCAGGCCATTGGGGGGAAAGTCTTATGGATCCAGTGGCAGTGGAAGCATCTCCACGCTGGTGTGGGTCTCCACGTGGCTCCTCCAGCTCTCGGGGCTCTGGCTGCATCAGCATAGCTCCATCAGGCTCCTTGTCAATAATGTCTCACAGGGAGTGAGCATGTGTCCCGCCTCCAGGCGTTTATCTCCTTAGCACCTCCAAATGAGGTCATCAAGCTGCGACCTGATTGACAGGCTAAACTCCACCCCTTTACTCTCCCATCTCAAATTGACAACAGATGATGTCACCACCGTGCACATCCCAAGTACGGGAGACAACGTCTCGCCATCCTCACCTGCGAGGAATATTCTGGCCGTCCTTCCTGCGTTACAGATCTGTTTGTTCTTTCGACAGAGCATGGCATTTTCAGCGTTCTTCACCTGGGGCGAGAGTGTACCCCGGACCCACCGCTGCACCTCCAGTAACGATGCAGTTGCTTAGTTAATATTGCGATTGGGTGCTTGCAAGGAGAAGTCCAGAGGGCTAATGACTATCCAGCCAGTGTCCAGTCAGGGCCTGGGGCCAGGGAGGGCGTGTGCTGAGGTCCCTGCAGACTTGTAGTTGGGTAGAAAAGCAGAGAGGCAAGTGAAGGCTTCCGGGCAGAGAAGAAAGTCTCCCCCACTCTGGGCAAAGGGGGACTCCCTGGCTCTGGGGGAGGTAGGTACAATAGGGTGTCCAGAGCAAGCGTGTCCAGGTGGGAAAGATGGACTGGGCAAGCAAGGCCTGGTGGTCAACCACTTCTGGAAATCAGCTGGTGAAAACCTCATGGGTCGCAGAGGTGCTGACTGGAATGAACCGTGGGGGTGGCCCAGGGCTGGG